TTCCAGACAAGTATTTTATAGCATGATACATGACCCTTTCAACTCAGTTGTTGCAGGAACTCTGTGTCCATTTATAGATCTGTTGCTGGGAGCAAGGAGAGAATACCATTTTCTTAGTACTAAATTGCATTGTATATATTATTATTATTTTAATTTTTGATGGAGCAATGCAATTCTCACCTTTCTCTCAGCTAGCATATCCATTATAGTTTGGACCAGTAACACACTGTAGTTGCACAGATGTCAGGCACCTATTGGCCAGTGTCTGTGACAACATTGACAATGAATTCTGCATTTCTCCTTTTCCATGTTGAAACTATACTGAGAACATGTTCTGGGTGCCACATTTTAGGAAGGACATTAAAAACTGGGAAGTGGCCAGGATGGTGTGTTGTCTGGAAACCAAATCCTTTGAGGAACAATTAAAAGAGTTGGGTATGGCTAGCCTAGACAAAGAAGATTAAAGGTTTTCAAATATCTGAAGGGCAGGCAAAGAGAAGATGGAGCAGGCTGGTTTTTTCATTGATTCACAGGACATGATGCACAGAAATTGCAAGGAATCATATTTTGATTAAATACCAGGAGAAACTCCCTAAGGAGCAGTTTGACTTCAGACCCCCTCCAGACAACCTGTTTATTGAGCGTTTGCTCTGGTTTGCTTGCACAAAGCTTACACGGAGGTTAGATTATATCCAGGACTTTATTGAGCATTTATTCTGATTTGCTTGAGGGGCAGTTATAAAGCTCTGAGCCTTTGTCCTGCTTCCCTCTTAATTTGCTTGCACATCTTCCTGTTAGTCATTCCTTCATCACACACTTTTCCATGCATTTCCCCAGCAATTTTTTAACCACAAAAAAAGTCTGATTCCTTTTAAAAAGTGGATTTGTTGCACCTGGGCAACCAAGCCCTTTAATCCACTTAAACTGCACAAACCTAAAGTTCTGCTGTGCTTGAATTCCTTATGCAAAATAGTGACAGCCTGGAGGCTCTCCTTTCCTGCAGGTTGGACTCGATAGCTGTCCATCAGAGATGTTGCCTCAAATTTGTTCCAGTTCTATCATTCATCTATCATATTTTCTGGAAAGTTGCTAATACAGAAGATAGAATGGTTGGATCTTAATGAGTGAATACTATATTTAGCTGCAGGACAGAGAACCAGAATTCTTTAAAAAAAAAAATTTAAATCTTTGTTCTTCTTCCTTCCTTCTTCCTTCTTTTTGCCTCTGTTCTTTTTTAAGATTAAGTGGTTATTTTATTTCAGTGTTTTATAAAAAGATACTTAGTAATGGGTATGAACTTTTTTGTATCTTTGAATAAGTATCGAAAAATACTTTTTAAAAAAAGTTCTTAGTTCACTATGCAGTTGGACACCTCTTAGGATACTGTAAAAAAATTTTGCATAATAGTTTTTTTGTCCATCTCTGAACGCAAAATTGGGTGTCTTTTGTTACTAGTTAGCAAGCTGAACCTTTTAAAATGACACTGATTTTAACCAAATGTTACAGAGATCAAGAAGCAGTTTTCCACCTATGTTTGGATGTTGTTTGGAATCAGAATGGCAGACAGAACCTTTCAGAACTGGGCTAACTTTAACCCCTTACAGTATTTCAAAACTGCAACAATTTTTGGGTTTCTTAGAATGGCTCCTAGTCATGCATGCCTAGTGCTGGATTTACGTATAAGCTAAACAAGCTATAGCTTAGGGCCCCACTCTCTTGGGGGCCCCCCAAAAATGTAAAGGGGGGAAAAAACACTGGATGTACATTTCCAAAATATAAGATGAAAAACAAATAAAATAAAACCTACAGACAGCAACAGTGTTTTGTGTTGTGTAGGCTCCTATTTGTTATGTGCAAATGGCTTTAGATACATATTAGGTCCATAAATTACCATATAGCAGTGGTTCTCAAACTGTGGATCCCCAGATGTTGTTGGACTACAACTGCCATCATCCCTGAGTTCTGGCCTTGCTAGCTAGGGGTGATGTGAGTTGTAGTTCAACAACATCTGGAGACCCACAGGTTGAGAAAGGCTGCTATATAGCATATATTCAACACAAAAAAGCAACAATTTGTTGTTGACAAATTGGACATATAAAGGGCCCCATTACCTTCAGTAGCTTAGGGCCTCATCAAACCTAAATCCGGTTCTGTGCATGCCTATGCATGATCCAAAGTTAAAATGCTTTCAGATCCTATTGATTTCCAAGCAAAGGAAATTTCTGTGAGTGTGCTCTGTTAGACTTTGCAATGATTAATTTTGTGTGTGTGCTCTCATTTTTTATAAAACGCTGACAGCTTGCCACTCCCAGCAGACGGATTATTGTGCCCCGAAAACACAAAACCTTGGTGAGCACCGGCAAAACCGTTCCCTTCCTCTTGAACTGGTGTCTGAATGCTGTTGAAGGAATGGCATCCCAACAGCACTCCCGGTGGAACCAGTGACGTCAGCCTTTGGCCCTGCAGCCAGCAGTTTAACTTGCCCAGACAGCACAGCATTGAGAGCTCAAACTCCCTGGTGAGGAGGGAGGGAGTGGGTGGAAGCTACAGGCAGCCAAGAGCAATAGCTGCGTTCGTAAGGACCAAATCTACACCATTCCATGCAAACATGGGGCAGCGTGATGTCCTTGTGACTGAGAAAAGATCATTTTTTGGGGGGGGGGGGAGAAGATGCTTAGCTTAATCAGTGGAGGCTGGTGCTGTGGGTTTGGGCAAATGGGGTACTGCCCCACCCGTCAGAGTGCCATGGATCACAGAGGAATGGTGGGAGGACCCAGCTAGGGCAGGGGTCAGCAACCTAAGGCCCATGGGCCACAAGCAGCCCATGGGGGTCGTTTAACCGGCCCAGGAGCCGCCCCCGAACTGAGCCGCCCGCTTGGCGAGTCCCTGCGTGCTGAGCTAAACCGGCATGGCACAGCGCAGGGACTTGTTTCCGTGGTGCCGGAAATTTTGTCTGCGCATGCTCAGATGCCGGGAATCGTGTCTGTGCACAGTGTTGGTGCTGACCTTTAAAGCCCTAAACAGCCTCGGTCCAGGATACCTGAAGGAGCATCTCCACCTCCATCGTTCTGCCCGGACACTGAGGTCCAGCGCCGAGGGCCTTCTGGCGGTTCCCTCATTGCGAGAAGTGAGGTTACAGGGAACCAGGCAGAGGGCCTTCTCGGTAGTGGCACCCACCCTGTGGAACGCCCTCCCACTGGGTGTCAAAGAGAAAAAGAACTACCAAACTTTTAGAAGACATCTAATGGCAGCCCTGTTCAGGGAAGCTTTTAATGTTTAATAGGTTATTGTATTTTAGTGTTTTGTTGGAAGCTGCCCAGAGTGGCTGGGGAAACCCAGCCAGATGGGCGGGGTATAAATAATAAATTATTAGTATTATATGCTGGAAATTGTGATCACTCAAGCTCATGTGTGATCCGGCCCACGGAGGGAACTCCACTGGAGTGAACCAGCCCAGGAGAGGTAAACTTTGCCGACCTCTGAGCTAGGGAACCCGCAAGGAAAGAAGGCTCTGAGCCAGAGGATTGGTGGTGGGATGACGATGAGTGGTCAGAGGAAGACGAGGGAGAAGATTGGGAAGAGGAGGTGTCAGAAGCTGATGAAGTCACAGGGCTTAGTGAGCTGGGAGAGTCTGTGGCAGAGAGAAATCCAGAATTAGAGGCAGAAGCTGAAGGAGGCAAGTGGGAGGGAGGTCAAGAGGCAGAGATGAGTCAGGCTGGTGAAGAGTCACGGGTGTCTCCCTCCTCTTGCGGCGACCAGCTCTCCTCCCCCTCATCTCCCAGAACCAGAAGAGACATGAAAAGGACAGAGGAGGTGACGTGCAGGCGCACCCTTAATAAGCTACAGTTCCCAGGATTCTTTGGGCAAAGGTATGACGGTTGGTGTCCCATGTCCTAGTCCAAAGCTTTCTGTTATAAAAGAAACATCCTGGAAGTTTCAAATATTCATCCCCAGCCCTGAGGGTCTTGTTACTGAATGGCTGCTTGGCTAACAGTGCAACCCTCTGCTGGTCTGCTCAGAACACAGCCCCATTGAGCTCCTAAGTAAGCCTCCCATGGCCAGACTACAACTCCCATCAACCCCAGTGAATACGCACAATGGTCATGGATGATGGGAGCTGTAGTCCAAAACATCTGGAGGGCGCCGGTTTGGGGAAGACAGCATCACAGCCTAGATAAATAAATACAAAACCAAATACTGTGTCTTTGCCAGAATTATTATTATGCTTGTAACTCAGCACATGAGGCGCTTAATCTCAGGGTGGCAGGTTCGAGTCCCACCATGGGCAAAAGAGTCCTGCGTTGCAGGGGGCTGGACTAGATGACCCTTGGGGTCCCTTCCAGTTCTATGATTCTGCCTGCCTACCTCTGGGTCCTCCAGTGTGAAGGGAGGCACTTCCGTGGCAGGGCGTCTAATGTCCCAGGCTCATTCCCCGGCAGCTCCAGGCGGGGCTGGGAGTGTCTGGAATGCTGGTGAGCAGCTGCCAGTCAGTGCCGACAGTATGGAGAGAGATGGGGGAATGTTCCGCCTCGGTACATGGCGCAGAAGCCGAGCCATTCTTCCAGAGGCCATTCATTTTCTCCCGCGCGCGTCTGCCAACTCTCGCATCCTTCACTTGCAGCCAGTTTCTGCCTCCCTCTCTCTTTCTCTGGGCAAACTTTTGAGAAACCTGGGCGCGCTCTTTCGTCTGAACGCATCTCTCTCTCCCCCTCGAGGGAACAAAAAACCCCATGGGGTGGGGGCGGACTATTTTTTTAAAGTCCCTTTTGGCATGGGAAAACGGGAGAGAGGGCTCCTTTCTTTCCTCCGCCCCTGTCCCCAATTCACTGCTTCTGAGGAAGGGGGAAATTGCCTTGTCCCCTTTTGCAAATCCTGCCCCCGCCCCGCGCGCGCTGGAGCTGCGCGGAGGCAGCCTCTGTTTGCGCACGGAGGGGCGTGGGCACAGGGGGGCAGCGCAGGCGGAGGGGGGGGGGGGTGCGCGTCGTGGGGAGGGGCGGCTCCTCGGCTGCAGCCAGAAGGGGGTGGCTTGAGTCGCAGGGCGCCTGCGCCGAAGTACCGGCTTGCCTCCTCCTTGGGTAGGACTTTTTCCCCGCCTGCCCCCCTCGCCGCCAGCCCCATCGCGCCGAGGGGTGAGAGCAGCAGCTGGGCAGGAGGGGGCTCCGCGGTGACACCTGCAGGGAGCTCTCGGCTGCGCTCCTCTCCGGTTGCCAGGTTTTGCAAGACAGAGAGAGAGAGAGAGAGAGCGAGAGAGCGCTTTGGAGAGGAGGGCAGGGTGGGGAGAACATCTATCTGCAAATCTCGTTTTGTGTGGGTGCGAGGAAGGGGTTGCATCGATTTGGGGGAGAAGGAAGGCAACGTCCGAGCTAGCAGGGAAGAAGTCTTCCTCCCCTGCGGCGCCGTGAACCTGGGAGTGATGGGACTTCAGTCTTCATCTGTCTGAGTTGTGTGTTAAAAAAACTTTGCTCCCAGGACCCTTGAGAACTCTTAAATCAGCGTCCTGGTACAGCCATGAAGAGGTAAGTTGATCAAGAGTTCTAGAGAACTGTAGAGATCTTAAGCAAGGAAGCAGCCCTGGTATCCACAAGTAAAGTCCATCTGGGACCCAACTTCCAAGTCGTTTTAGCCCAGAAGGGAGAGCATCAGCTAGAAGCCCGGCTGATCTGAAAGATGATTCGGCCACACACCTGATAGGTGATGTTGATTTGAACAATTCAATAAGATAGGGTCCTTTCCTCTTTAGTGGATTATTACAGGCGTTGGGATGGCTACTCTTCCAGGGAGCCATGTGAAATGTTTGGGACTTGGGCAAGTCGAAGAGATGAAACAAAAACCTATTGTTTTTTTAAAATTTAAACTCTTTGGGGTGGTACCTGTCTCCTTTACCTTTTTCTTGTCTACCTGAGCTTTGATTCCCTATCCCTATTCTGATTCCCTATCTGTACTTAACATATTGTGGAGAGGGGCTGTAACTCAAGGGTGGAGCATCTGCCTTGTATACGGAAGCTTCCAAGTTCAACACCTAACCCTAACCCTGGTCTTATCTTACTGGAGAAACCCTGGCTTAAAACTGCTGCCAGTCCGTGTAGACAATACTGAGCTAGATAGACCAATGGCATGACTCTTGTGTTTCCTCTATTCCTACATAACCATACAAAGCACAGACCAAGGACAAGTGATCTTGATTCTAACTAACTCTTCTTGGAAGATTTGAAAACTTTATCCTACTTGCTGTTTGTCTAATCTCTTTGGACCCTCCCAAATTCCCACGGACCAGCAGTCTCTTTAAATTGTTTTGCATCCACCGCTGTTGCAACACCACCCTAAGAGGCACGCTCAGGGGCTTAGCAATTCCCCCCTCGGTCCCTGCATACCAAATTATTGAATTATTGGGTCTATCATGTTCTGTCCTCTCTACTAACACAGAATTGTAGAGTTGCAAGGGACCTCAAAGGATCATCTAGTCCAACCCCCTTACAATGCAGGAATCTCAGCTAAAGCATCCATGATCATCCATCCTCTGCTTAAAAGCCTCCGAGGAAGGAGAGTCCACCATGTCCCAAGGATGACTATTCCATATGTGCCAGATATCGCTGGACTAGGACTTCCGCCTTCCCTGACCATGGGCTATGCTTCTTGCAGGGGAAGCGTGTGGAAGTTGGATTACACTGCCTGGCGACAGTTATCCAGAGTTTCAGGCAAACATCTTTTCCAGCCTTATTCGGAGATCCTGGGGATTGAACCTGGAACCTTCTGGATGCCGAGCCCATGTGCTCTGCCGCTAAGCCACAGTCTCCCTCCCCCCCATAGTTGTGGTTATCCTCCGGTGGTCTAGTTGTGGTTATTCTGCGGTGAGACCTAAGTGCCTCTTACGTACGGTTGCTAAGTCACATTGTGGATACTCCCCTTGTACTTTTTAATTTGGCAGTGAATTGGGAGTGGAGGCAGGAGCTGCAGCTTCTCCTCTCTCTCCCCCTGCCCCCCCCAATTGCCCTCCTTTCATCTGCAGTTCTTCCTTCTGTGCAAAATCCCTGTAGCCCTACTTGCTTAAGCGGTCTCATGTAATTCCACAACAGTCCTGTAAGGTAGGCTAGAAGAGGGACTGAGAAAACAAAAGAGGTTTGATAAGGCAGCAGCAAATTAAACCATGCCAACTTTGTGCTGTGGGCACAGCGTAGCTTCTCCAGGTTATTTTATATCGACCAACTTGGCACCTTTTGCAGTGCCTGCTGTGGTTTTGGGGTGCTGTGTGTTTTATGAGAAGTACATTTTTCTCCAGTTTAGAGATAAGGTCTGTTAAGAGAAAAATATGCAGGCCACGTGGGGAAGTTTTGCAAGGACATCGTTCGACATGATTACACTGAGCCACTATAACTCAGCAAAAGAAGACATTTGTGCAAGTGTTACATGGGATGGTGTCCTTTCTCGACTTGGTGCTTTCCAGATGTTTTGGATTGCAGCCAACACGACTGGGACTGGTGGAAGTTGCACTCTGGAGGGCATCAGCTTGGGCTGAACAAATGTGCATGTTGCGTTCCTACTGCACAAAGGTGGCATTGGCATCCAACATTCCCTCCGCCTGTGCTTTTGCCCACCATGGGCATGTGGCTCTCATAAGGTTGCCTGGAGGGCAATGCATCTCTCTGTAAAAGGTTCCACACCCCTCAGCTAGAGCCTCTCCCAAGTGTTCCACTTTGGAAAAGGACAAGAGAGGCAAAGAAACAGGAAGCACCGGAGAGTTTGTGCTTCCTGTCCCCCTCTGTGTCATTGTCACTTCTGAAGCAGCTCTTAGGCCTGAGATTTCACTGGTGGCTGGTGGGGAAGTAAGTCCTTCGGAGTTCAGATTGCAGACACGGCCATTCTCCTAGAGACCAGGGAGAAGTGGTCTAGCTCAGCTGCCTTTGACAACTGGATTTCTATGTGCAGGGAATTCTATACCCCTCTCTCTTTTGCAGGAACATTCATGTGCAGTCCAGAAGCTGATCTAACACCTCATTTGCCGTTTGTGAGAACAAGACCAAAGGGTCCAATGTGTAAATAAATTTGGGTGGCGATGGGCATGTGTTTATTATGTGTGCCTGTGAAACTGAGCCAGTTTGCCCTATTAGTATAAACACTAACATTCTCTGGCACGCAGTTATCAGAAAGAAACTTTGTGCGTGTGTGTGGTTTGAGGAATTCCAAGAACACAAGGCAAGTCCACGCATGGACTTCATTTTGCTTGCCCTTGCCTTGGTTTTATTTGGATACTTTCAAAGAGTATTCTATCAAGCTATGCCTTTGGAAAGCAATTAATGTTTAACTTCTTATCTACATGCATGCGAGCACACCCAGTCTGGGCTGCCCCTGCATTTTCTCAATTCAGCCTGGCTGAAAACAGACGGAAAATAGGCCGGCTTTTCTTTGTTCTTGGATTCTGATTGATGATTACAGAAGCAACAGTGATTGGAAGCAAATGTCCAGCTATTGTAATCCATGCTTTAATGAGGTAATGAAAGTTATGCCCTAGTTGGACATTATAGTCAATGCATATTTTTGGAAACTCCAGCACAGAATGCCTATGTGCGCACACACAGGCTCACGCGAAAACAGCTGATTAATATCATGCTTGCTTTCTTGGGTGACACCCAGGAGATACTCGCTTATTTCCACCAGCTGTAAAAAGTTTCCCTTCGTTGCGAAATAGTTGGGCTTCAGTATCCTGGAACGACTTTCAAAGTCTCTTGGAATCCATATAAATACAGTACAAAGGTGGGGAAGGATCTCTCTAGCTTGCACATGAAACGTCATGAGATTGCAGCCTTAGCTGCATAAATCTGCTGTGTAAAAGCCTATAAAAACCCATCCTATTCCCAGAGTGGCTGGCACCCAGAGTCGTGTGGGCACTGTTTTGGCATGATGTGATCCTGGGCTATTGGCGAGTGTGTCTTGATGAAGCATGAGCCGTATCCCCCTTTTAGCTTACAGTTAGCGAAAGGCTGACATTTCAAGAAAGGAGAGTGAAGTTGCCCTGCAGACCTGACCAGTCCCACCCCTCTCGCCTCTGCATTTTTGGCAAAGTCTGAAAGAGATCTGGCTGCAGTCATAGGGTGCATGCATTTAAAGGACCCTTAAAGCATATTGCTTCCCCTGAAAGAATCCTGGGAAGGACAGTTTACCCCACACAGAGCCACCATTTCCAGCACCTTTGTTAAACTACAGTTCCCAGACTCCTTTGCGCAACGGGGAGTCTTGCATGACCAGGGTTCCCAAGCAAATGTAGAAGCCTGTCTGAAAGCTCTTCATTCGTCTCCTGCAGTGGTTCCCAACCTTTTCCAGGCCACTGACCCCTTGGTTCCATAAACCTACCCTTGGTGCCCCCTACCCCATAAAAAGTATTATTCAGAATAGTGGTTTGCACTATGAAGGATAATAGCACAATAAAACCATAGAATTATAGAGTCATAGAATAGTAGAGTTGGAAGGGACACAAGGGTCAACTAACCCAAATCTCTGCAATGTAGGAATCTTTTGCCCAACGTGGGGCTCAAACCCACAACTCTGAGATCAAGCGCATCTTGCTCTGCCAACTGAGCTGCCCCAGACCCCAATGAACTATGAATAAAAGTTCAACGAATGAAATTTGTTTTGAAATTCAAAACAGTAACAATTAATTGCACATGCACTCAAAATCCAGTTAAAACTATTTAGTTTAATTCATTCCAGAAATGAATCTCCATCCAGTGATACCAGCTTTACAAAGTCTGATAGTCATTTACTCCTCCAGCAACCGCACTCTTGCCTCTTAGCACCCACCTAGGTAATACCACTGCCCCCCCAGGGGGTAATACTGTCCCCCTTGGGAACCACTGATCTAATGCACAGACATCAGATGGGTGTCGGCAAGGGGCTGGGAGGGACAGGAGAGATGATCTCCCTGTGCCAGGTAGCAGGAGGGAGATCCCCAATCTCTTTGGGGACACATTTTTGAAAATCTAAGAAAACGTCGTAGGCAGCCCAAAGAGCCATTCCAGGCTTGCTTTGTATTGTACATTCGTGATGATTTGTGCTCATGAAGGGGCAGCCAGGTATAAAGCCTCTTTCTTTTCTTTTTTTCAATACTTTTCTTTTGCTTTAAACATTTACAGATAAATATAAACAACCAAAATTACAAAAGAAAAATCCTTAATTATAATAATGGAAAAAGCTAAAAAACTACAAAAAAAAATCAAAGTACATGGCATGGAACATAAGCCATTATGGGAAAGAAAAAGGAAAAAGGAAAGAAGGAGGGGGGGGGGAGAAAAAAGAAAAAGAGAGGAAAATGAGCCAAAACACAAGAAGGCGCATCTATTCTACGCTTCCGTCAAGGTCACAACAGATCATTATTCTTTTCAGTTCTCTCTATCTGCATTCTATAGAATCCCTCATCTTGGTATCAGGGAACATTTCCCTATGCGGTATCATTCTAAACGTAACCAGGTCTTTATTGAAGAACCCTTATTATCCCCTAGATAATTATTTAAACATTCCCGCATGAAGCCTCTTTCAATACTGTTTGCCCCTCGCCGCTTCCCACAGTGCAGGGGAGCCACTAAGTTCTCTCCTGCCAGTCCAGCACTCGTTTCACTGTGCTTCGTTGGCTTTCTGCTACTGTTCTGCCGTTGGATAATGGTACCCATGTTGGGCAAAAGATTCCTGCATGGCCGGGGGGTTGGATTAGTTGAGCCTCGTGGGTCCCTTCCAAAACCCACCATTCTATGCTGCCACTGGTATATAGCTCCATCCCAGCAGGGAACTCTCCCTGCCGTAACTGGAGACGCTGGGGATTGAACCTGAGGACCTCCTGCATGCCGGCAGATGCTCTGAGGCTGCATTAGAACCTTTCCCCAAAAGGAATTTGGGAATGAGAGAACAGGGACTGGGAGGACAGCTCCATGGGCTGCATAGCATAGTCAAGAAATCCAAATTCCTTTTTTAAGTGTGTGTGTGTGTGTGTGTGTGTGTGCGTGCGCGCAGAGTGGGGATGTAGGCGTGCCAGACCCAGTAATTCTTAAACTAACTTTGCCAGCTGGTAACCCAATCACACAATGATCCTATTACTTTGGCGCGGGGCTGCACTCTGGCCAGCTTGCCAGCGTACCTGCTGTGTCTACTGTATGTGTTGGCAGGTACCCTGGCCCTGGACGCTCTGGCGACCTGGTTCAGATTTTCCAGCATGTCTCCTCTCGTAACCCTCAAATTAGCAGGGATTTAGGAAGGAACAGGCTCAAGAAACACAGCATCGCCAACAGGCTGTGTCTCAACATACGTAGCTTGTGTGTGTGTGTGTGTGTGAAAATGTGCTTCTGTAATCCTTAAAGTGCCTTGCTTGTGTTTTTAACAACCCACACGGCCGAGGAAATCTGTTTGGATGCTTTGCCAGGAGTGGGAACAGTTGCTGGATACTCATTTTGTATAATACAGCGGTACCTCGAGTAACAGATGCTTCAGGTTACAGACTGTGCTAACCCAGAAATATTACCTCGGGTTAAGAACTTTGCTTCAGGATGAGAACAGAAATTGCATGGTGGCGGCACAGCAGCAGCGGGAGGCCCCATTAGCTAAAGTGGTCTCTCGGGTTAAGAACAGTTTCAGGTTAAGAACAGACCTCTAGAACGAATTAAGTTCTTAACCAGAGGTACCACCGTATAATAATTTTTTTAAAGATGCTCTTTGCTCTGCCTTCCCGCCTCCTCCTCCTCCCCCTACACTGCCCCCCTCTCCTTGTTAATCATTCTGGCTCCTTGCCCTGTGGAAAAAACTGTCTTCATTGCAAAATGTAATGGAGACTATTCTTCTCCCAGTTTCCCCCCCTCCTCTCTCCCCCCCCTCAAAACTGTACATTGCAGGAACAAATTCTAATTAGCAGGACTGAAGAAACACCTCCTAAATAGTGACCTTCATTAAAAAAACAAACCAAAACAAACCGTAGGCATTTAGAATGGATGTCCTTACTGCAAAGGTGATTCATGCCGTAGAGAGAGTGAGTTTGTAGGTATGGAAAAAAAGAGGCCATGCGCTTTCCATGCCATATTCCTGAGAGGTGAAAAAGGCTGCTTGTATCTCATCCAGATGTAAGTCAAGTATTCCATGTGGTCAAAGAACACCCAAATTGCCTGCCACAAGAAATAAAGTAAATTATCCAACTGAAGTCTCCCGTGAGCAGGAGAAACAGCTTTTCAAATACAGGAGGGCTTCTCTTTCCAGCTCTGTGGGATGGGAAGGCTGCCCTACTGTACCTGCTAGAAGGAAGCCCCAGTTAACTCAACGGAATCGGCGTCTCTCAGCAGGCATGTTTAGGTTTGCACAGTAATTGCTAGAGGTAGGATATCGGTGCATGTTTCAATTTGTTTTTTATTGGTTGCTGGTTTTAAATTTTTTCAACGTAGCTGTTTTTAGTGGTAATTTTATTGGGCTTTCTCTAAGCAGATGTGTTTAGGTTTGCTGTACCTGGATAGGTAGCATGTTGGTGTGCGTTTCTTTTCCTAAAATTTATTTATTTGGTTTTTCAGATTAAAATTTTACAGTCACATATCCAACATACAACATAAAAATAAGATTCCAAGGAATCTCTTGGAATTCCCTCCTCCCCTTTGCGGGTCCTATTGTTAATCATTTCCTCCTGCATCTTTTATGATAATCTAAATCTTTTACCTCTCCACTGTGTCCAAAATTCACCGTTCAACTACAAGTGATATTCCAATCCTACTAAAGATTTTAACTGTTTACAATTAAGATAAGTTATAAATTTCCTCTATTCCTTATTAAAATTTTGGTCTTCCTGATTTCTGATTCTTCTGGTTATTTTAGCCATCAACTTGATCTGCCATTCTTTTCTGGTAGGGACTTTTTATCTTCTTTCCATCTCTGTGTGTTTCAATTTGTTTTTAGCTGGTTGCTGATTTTAAGGTTTTTTGGAAATATAAATAAATAGGTAACTGCTTTTAGTTGTGAGTTTATTGGTTTTTCTCTTTGTAAGTCACTTTGACGGTTGGTTTTTCAATCAAGCAGCGTATAACTATTATGAAATAAAATAAATAATAGTTTTTGTGGGCATACCTCCACTGATGGAGGTCTGGGGTAAGGTTAAGTTCCCACAGATACCTCTTACCATTTATTCAAAACCTTTTCAGTTGCAAGGGTGAAGAGTGCCACCAATAACTTTTTGGGGAGGGTGAGGACTATCAGGAATTGGGGGAAGCTGCTTTTGTGTAAGTGCTTTACTGCGCATCTTCGCGATGGCAGGTGTGGGGATCCTCAACTTTGCAGAAATCAGGATTGCGGTTACATGCACACAAACACACCCTTTTATAGGAGAAGCGGCTTCCAGGGTCAGCTTCACTGCCTAGCATCCCCTGCTGGCCAGGTACTGCAATTGCAGGCATCTCTGAACAGGAAGAGGAAATGGTTCAGCAGGAAACAGGAAGCAAACCCACTCCAGTAGCCATCACAGTGGTATAGATGGAAAGTGGCAGGGAATGGGAACTACCCCCGAGTCCACTGCTGTGCGAATAAGAGATCTCCATGATCTGGCATCATTTTCTGTGAAGAGAGCAGATGCTAGAGTTTTCCAGAAGGCTACTGACTTTTTTGTAATTAATGTGGCTGCCTGTGCTTTCCTAAGGTTCCAGTACGCCTGTGCCTTAATGACTTGACCCAAAGTTGATGGTTGTTGACCTCTCAATTGACCAAAGTATTTTTTGACCCATCTAAGGCCACCTCTGATCCAGCCTTCAGTAACACTAATGCACTAGAACTATAGCTATCTACGTTTCCCTTTTTAAAAGGGAAATTCCCTTATTCCGAATAGGATTCCTTGCAAGAAAAGGGAAAAGTTGACAGCTATGGCTAGAACCTAGTTTGATCTATGGCGGGAAGGTGGGTGGGATGGAGATGTGGCCATTAGACACCCTGCATAGGCTGTGCGCCTTTCTCTAAGCTTGCCGTCATGCTCAGGTGTGTAATTATAGGGATGACAAAAGACAGGCAACTCCCAGCTTTAAAAGCAGGAGAGAAGGAAACCTCCTGTATTTTGGAGTCCAGGGCTGTAGCCAAGTCGGGGGCGCCAGCTGGGGTCTCAGCCCTGGGTGAAGCCTTTATATGGGCACCACTGAGGCTGCCAACTTGCCAGCAGCTTCCTCCAACCGCAGCCCCTCCTTGGGCTCCAGAGTCTAAAAGTGTCCCTGATATAGGAGAAGCAGGAAAACCAGGAAAACGATCCTCCTTCCCCTCCCCGCCCCCCCCCCATCTGTTTATGGTATCAGAACATCACCTCCTGTCCTTTTTGGAAACAAGCATTATGGAGTATTGCTTGCTTATGTGTTCTCTCTCTCTCTCTCTCTCTCTCTCTCTGTGTGTGTGTTTGGATCTAAATGACAACATACATGTTTACACCATGTGGATATATAAAGAGGGCACTGCTGCATACAATCTCCTACAACCACTGAGTCCTCTTTATACTGAAAATAAAATACCTGCAATGAAAGAAATGTGATGCTGACATGCGGAGCACTTTGTATTTATCCCTTCCTGTAATTTGGAATGAAAATGTAGCCAATCCACTTTAAATTCCTTAATTGCAATGGTTCAGCAGCCAGCAATTTTTAAAGGAAACTTGTGGAGTATTTATGCTTTTATTTTATTCTTTAGAGCATGGGTAGGCAAACTAAGGCCTGGGGGCCGGATCCGGCCCAATCGCCTTCTAAATCCGACCCATGGACGGTCTGGGAATCTGCATGTTTTTACATGAGTAGAATGTGTCCTTTTATTTAAAATGCATCTCTGGGTTATTTGTGGGGCATAGGAATTCGTTCTCCCCACCTCAATATAGTCTGGCCCCCCACAAGGTCTGAGGGACAGTGGACTGGTCCCCTGCTGAAAAGGTTTGCTGACCCTTGCTTTAGAGCCTTAAACTGCAAGTCTTTAGTGCTCAGAAGTAAGTCCCACTGAATGCAATGGAGCTTACTCCCAGATAACTGTAAAAATGCTGTAGTCTTATACTGCAATCTTAAGCATTTTTACTCAGTAGTAAGTCCCACTGAGGGACGTGGGTGGCGCTGTGGGTAAAACCTCAGCGCCTAGGACTTGCCGATCGTCAGGTCGGCGGTTCGAATCCCCGCGGCGGGGTGCGCTCCCGTTGCTCGGTCCCAGCGCCTGCCAACCTAGCAGTTCGAAAGCACCCCCGGGTGCAAGTAGATAAATAGGGACTGCTTACTAGCGGGAATATAAACGGCGTTCCCGTGTGCTGCGCTGGCTCACCAGATGCAGCTTGTCACGCTGGCCACGTGACCCGGAAGTGTCTTCGGACAGCGCTGCCCCCCGGCCTCTTAAGTGAGATGGGCGCACAACCCTAGAGTCGGACACGACTGGCCCATACGGGCAGGGGTACCTTTACCTGTACCTTAAGTCCCACTGAGTTCAATAGGGCTTATCTCTGTATGTGCCTGATCATTAACACAGTTTCCGTTGTTGTTGTTGTTGTTGTTGTTATATCATACATTCATAATACTTCTTAAAAAGGTAAAGGGACCCCTGACCATTACATCCAGTCGTGGCTGACTCTGGGGTTGTGGCGCTCACCTCACTTTATTGGCCGAGGGAGCTGGCGTACAGCTTCCGGGTCATGTGGCCAGCATGACTAAGTCGCTTCTGGCGAACCAGAGCAGCGCATGGAAACGCCGTTTACCTTCCTGCCGGAGCAGTACCTATTTATCTACTTGCACTTCAACGTGCTTTTGAACTGCTAGGTTGGCAGGAGCTGGGACTGAGCAACGGGAGCTCACCCCATCGCGGGGATTCAAACCACCGACCTTCTGATCAGCAAGTCCTAGGCTCTGTGGTTTAACCCACAGTGCCACCCGCGTCCATAATACTTCTTAGAATTCCTCAAATTACTTTCTGATGAGATCTACTTAAGGTTGAATGAAAGCCAGATACACACACAGACAATTTTACTCTTTGGAGAGACTTATCTCTTCTCCAGCCTCTTTCAAACTCCTTTTTAGGCCCTTTCTGAACAATTGTTTTGAGGTGTGTTTGTGTGTGTGTGTGTGTGTGTGTGTGTGTGTGTGTATACACATGCAAACACACATGGGGTGTGTGTGACAAACTGGGTCTTTGCCCCAGGTGACAGAAACCCTGGCTTCGGCTCTGTGAAGCCTACTAAACATAAGCTCACCAAAAAGTGATGGGGGAGTTGAAGACAGCAATGTTGCCTTGCTGTTGGTGGCTATTAGCTATGATGGCTGTGCTTGGCCCCCATAGCTGGAGGAAGCAATGCTTTTGAATGGCGGCTGCTGGAAACCACAGGAGCTTAAAGTGCTCTTGTGCTCAATCCTGCTTGCAGGTTTTCCACGAGCATCAAGTTGGCTACTGTGAGAACAGGATGCTGCCCCCCCTGCAGGCTATTCTAATGGCCTTGCTGGATTCTACAGGACTCATGCAGTCAAAGGACTGTTTCTGATCCTTTTCCAAGGAATAAAATCAGGAGCGGTGGTTGTTTTAAATAAGAGTTTACCCAGTGCAATTTTAGGTTATTTTTTAGTGATCAAGATTTAATATATATTTTTAACTGCCGCTATATCTGAATTGTCTCTGTTATACCCAATTGCCATTCAATGTATTCCTGTTGTGTTTTATAATTTTCCTGATATTGTAAGTGAGCCGGAACTGGTCTGTGACCATAATACAGTGGTACCGCTGGTTACGTACTTAATTTGTTCCGGAGGTCCATTCTTAACCTGAAACTGTTCTTAACCTAAAACACCACTTTAGCTAATGGGGCCTCCTGCTGCCACCGTGCCACTGGAGCACATTTTCTGTTTTCATCCTGAAGCAAAGTTCTTAACCTGAGGTACTATTTCTGGGTTAGCGGAGTTGGTAACCTGAAGTGTCTGTAACCTGAAGCGTCTGTAACCCGAGGTACCACTGTACCCCAAAACAATCTTGGTAGTTTCAGGAGTATCATCCCTCAGCAAATCTTGGATTACAGACTCTTTGTAAATCGATATTTTGAGCTGTAAGGGAGTCACTGGGAGATCTCTGCGATGGGTGATGGCAATTCAAAATTATTATCCAAAATTGTAAGTGAGCCGGAACTGGTCTGTGACCATAATACAGTGGTACCGCTGGTTACGTACTTAATTTGTTCCGGAGGTCCGTTCTTAACCTGAAACTGTTCTTAACCTGAAACACCACTTTAGCTAATGGGGCCTTCCGCTGCTGCCGTGCCACCGCTGCACAATTTCTGTTCTCATCCTGAAGCAAAGTTCTTAACCCGAGGTACTATTTCTGGGTTAGCAGAGTCTGTAACCTGAAGCGTATGTAACCCAAGGTACCACTGTAATAAAATTTGTTTACCCAGTGCGTGCTTCAAAAAGAAAGTAAGATGGAACTTAATCATTAAGTAGAATGAGGTAATGGTACCAATAGAGAAATATGAAAAAGATGAGGAAATGAATTATTATTATTATTATTAATACATGCATATCCCATCTTCCAAAGAAGCCCAATGTGGAATATATGGGTCGCCCCCCCCCCCCCCATTGCCATCCTCACAACCATTCTGTGGGGTAGAAAAGGTTGAGGGAAGTGACTGACCCAAGGTCATCCAGGGAGCTTCTTGGCTGTAGTGGGAATTTGAACCCTGATCTCCCAGGTCCTAGTCCAGCCCTCTCATCACTGCACCACATTGGCTCTAACACGGCATTATCTTTCCATTTCTCCTGCTGTTGCCCCACTGTTCATCCCAGCACCTGGAATGCAAAGACTCCCTGTTCCTGAACATCAAAGCTCCATGGATGCAGCAAATAGCCGTTGATAAAGCAATCCTCCACGAATCTGTCTGTCCCATTTTAAGCACGCCATCCAAGTCAACATAGATAGGTGGGCTGTAAATTCCACATTCCAAATTCCATTATGGGACACCCAAAGAAGTGTGTTCCTATGCCTTGTCCTTAACTTATAGCACATCAGTTTGTTGGAAGCCACCCAGAGTGGCTGGGGAAACCCAGCCAGATGGGTGGGGTATAAATATTAAATTGTTGTTGTTGTTGTTGTTGTCATCGTCGTCACCATCATCATCCTGGAACCCTTATTGCTATGCGAGGAGGAGGAGACTGTCCAACTTGCCCATAATTTTTATGCAAGATGATGCTCCTTTATACACCTTCAATATACAGTATTCCTCCTTTTGGTTTCCCTAAACCCCCAAATCACCATTCATCTATCTCTGCAATAAGGCCTGTAGAGAAAAATATGCCAGATGTACCAGCTGATACAGAGCGTTCCCTAGTCAGTTCCCTTGATGCCGTCGTGTTTTCCAGCGACAGTGACATCTTCTGGACATGACAGTGCCTAGAGGCAAAAAAAAGGGAAGCTGGATATTCTTCGTTCCTCTCCCTTTCTTTTAATTCAGCTGAGCTAGCTAAGCCAGCAGGCAAGGGAGATTTGCAGCAAACTTAGCAAGCCAGGTAAAACAACGGTATTGGAGCACTTGAAAACGCACATATACAAATCACTCCCATCGGTAGGCACAGTTCTTGAAGCACATTTTCTTGCAAGTTTCTGTTGTTTTTGATTTGACGGAGCAGCTGATGGAGAAGAGCAATTGCAGCTGTAATAGGCTCACCTAGTGATCTGCCCCAAATGACTGCTGCATAGTCAGTTGGATGCAATGCACCGCAGGCATGCTTTGAGTGTTGCTTCTGTTTTTCAAAAGAGAGCTCCTTCCATGCCGTCCTGCCACCTGGATCGGGGAAAAGAAGCGCATGAACACACCAGCTGTTGCCTTCTGAAGTTTTGCTATTCATTAAAAAAATACCAGTGCGGCATACAATAATTTTATCTAAAGCCATACAGTACCAAACCACGTAGAAAGGTAAAATCAGAAATGGCTAACTGTTATGGAAAGATATGTTAATTGCCTGCATAAGCCTGATGTTTTCAGCAGGCGTTTAAAAGTTGGCACAGAAGGCGCCCGCTTAATCTCTGCTGGCAGAGCCATTCCGCAAGAGGAGGCTGGTGGCGCTTAGGGCTCGGTTCCTTGTGGTTGTCAAACTAGCCTCGCCAACTCAGGAAACAACCGACGACCTAGAAACCAGGATATCGGGGTTCAGGCAGTCTCTGAGGTACCCTGGACTTAAGCTGTCCAGGGCTTTGTAAATTCCTCCAAGGACCTTGAACTTGGCTCAGTAGTAGATAGGCAGCCAGTGCAGATGTTTTAACAATGGCATCACATGTTCTTGGCCACATGCCCCCATCATCAATCTGGCTGCCGTCCTCTGCACCAGCTGGAGCATCTAAACCAGCCCTTGAGATATCTGAAGATGTCCATCATACCTCCTCTCAGTCTCCTCTTTTCCAGGCTAAGCATATCCAGCTCCTTCAACCACTCCTCATAAGGCTTGGTTTCCAGGCCATTGATCATTTTGGTTGCCCTCCTCTGCACTTTCCAGCTTGTCAACATCCTTCTGAAATTGTGGTGCCCAGAACCAGACATAGTATTCCAGATGTGGCATGACCAAGGCAGAATAAAGTGGTAGTATTACTATCTTGATCTGGACACTAGGCTTCTGTTGAAGGAGTCTAGAAGAACATAGGAGTGCCTGGCGTGCTCTGGTCCATGGGGTCACGAAGAGTCAGACACGACTAAACGACTAAACAACAACAAGAAGAACATTAGCTTTTTTGCTGCTGCATCACACTGTTGACTCATGTTAAGCTTGTGGTCCACCAAGATCCCTAGATCCTTTTCACATGTTCTACTGACAAGCCAGGTGTCCCCCATCTTATATTTGTGCATCTGCTTCTTCCTGTTTCTAAGTGCAGAACCTTACATTTGTCCCTGTTGAAATTCATTCTGTTAGCTTGGGCCCAGTTCTCCAATCTGTTAAGGTCTTTTTTGAATCCTGATTCTGTCTTCTGTGCCATTAGCTACACCTCCCATCCCTCCAGGTTGTTACCTGGATCAAATAAATTGTGTGGATTTGTGCTGCACAGCATGCAAAACAGATCGATATTCCGCCAGGGCTCAAATAATAACACTTAGTTAGTGACCTCATCTCTTGACTTTAGTTAGTCATCACCTCTTGGTCCAGCCTACCTCACAGGGTTGTTTTGAGGAATAATTGGAGGTGAATCCTGAGCTCCTTGCAGCAGCAGCAGCAGCAGGAGGAGGAAATAAATGTGGTACAGAAAACAAACCAGAGAAGCGGGCATGCACCCACTTGGCCTCCATCTGGAGAAGTTTTGAGGACTGGCAGTAGCAGAGCTGTGGCCTGACTCTGGCCAGGTACAGCAGGTAACCTGATTATCTGCAGACTGAAGGCAGCGTGGGGTGGAATTGTGGGTTGCAGCACACAGGGCTGCTTTGTGAATGCTAGGAGGGACCATTCCTCCCTCGCACAGCTGCGGACACCTTCTCTAAGAGCCGGTTGTATTCTGTTCCTTTGAGGCATTTCAAGAATGATGCTAAGCTGCTCCGGCCATTATTGGTTTAACCCCAGCCGGGTTTAAATATGCATAAGCTGCGTCTAATAGCTGTGATTTATTTGAGTAATCCCTTATCGGGAATGGGCAGGCCGTCCCTCCTCCTCTCTTGCAAGGGAGCACTTGGGCTCCTGCAGAGATTCAGCTGCCTGGTTAATTTTCAAATAAGCCAAAGTCCTGCATATTTCCCCAGCACAGTTATTGTACCTGTGGCTCTTCGCTACTGGAGACCTCACTTAATCTGCCTGTCATCTACAAATACACCCTATGATGTGGCTTTTATTATCCGAGCCGAGGAAGAACGCTGCCCTGGGTTTCCTGAGGGATTTAATCTAACATGGAAAACGGTGGCTTCTATTAGTCTACAATTCTCACCCACACACACTGTCCAATTTAGCTGCACCAGTAGATCCACTCCGTTTCCCCCAATGCAAATCTGAAAGGCTACGCTATTTAATTGGACTTCTTCACCGCTTGCGACTGTGAAGGAAAGGAGCCCCTAGACCTCAAGAGCAGAATAAACAAGATCATGTATCTCTCGTCTCAGGTCTGTTTGTTTCAGCTGTGGGATGCTTCTTGCTAACAAGTTAGAACCAGTGTGGAATTGTGGACTGCAGAAGAGCTGTAGCTCAGTCGCAGAACATCTGCTTTGCATGCAGAAGGTGCCAGGTTCCATCGCTGCCATCTCCAGTTCTGTCAATACTTACTGGCAACAGCTCTCCAGGCAGGGTTGACCTCTTCAGTCCTATCTGGAGATGGTGCGGATTTCAGTTATGAACTCCTTTGGGTGGCCTTGGGCTAGTCATTGGGAATGGAGTTTCATAGAATCGGGCCCACAATACTGCTGTAAATGAGTGGAACATCAAAGCCATGTGGGACCACAAAACAGTGACTCCCCTGAAGACCCCAGTGATCCGGCAGGGATTAGGTGAGCCTTGAGGTAGCCACACAAATCATTAAGGGCCTAGTAAATTAATTACAAGAACCATGAATCTGGCCTGGTAGTATCTGGACAGGCAGTGTAGACTTTTGAACACTGGAGTTATGTGTTGGAGGTAATTTGTTCCACTCAGGAATCTTGCCCCAGCGTTTTGCACCAGCTGGATTCTCCACATGAGGCCCAAGAGTAGCTCTATCTCAATAACCATCTTGCAGTAACCAAGTCTTGAGGTTCCCAATGCATGGATCTCGGTGGTTGAGGGAGCTGGGTATGTTTAGCCAGGAAAAGGGGAGACTAAGGGGAGATATGATAATCACCTTCAAATATCTCAAGGGCTGTTATGTGGAAGAGGGAACAAGCCTTATTTCTCCTGCTCTGGATGGTAGGACTCGAACCAACGGCTTCAAGTTACAAGAAAGGAGATTCCGACTTTCTGACAGTAAGAGCTATTCGACAGTAGAATGATCTCCCTTAGGAGATGGTGGACTCTCATTCTCTGGAGGTTTTTAAGCAGAGATTGGACGGCCATCTGTCTTGGATGTTTAGTTGAGAATCCTGCATTGCAAGGGGTTGGATTTGATGACCCTCAGGGTCCCTTCCAGCTCTACAGTTCTATGATCTACTTTGATGTTCTGTAATAAATCACAATATGATATATAAATGATAAATAAATAACATCTTCCTTCCTTTTCACAGTTCAGGGTTCACCATGGCCAGCCTACCATGCCTTCTCTTACTCCTGTGGACCATCAATGGTGTTCTACCTTCCAGTTCTCATTGGAGGCCCACCTGGCCATCCTACAGAGTCCCCGTTGTTCTGCCACAATCAACCACTTATTTGGACAAACCACAGTTTGATGCCGAAGCTAAGCTGGAAGTGGTCTCGTCTTGCAGCCCGTCTTGCCATAAGAGTTCCCCACTACCTACTTACGAAGAGGTGAAGGATTACTTGTCCTACGAAACTTTGTACTCCAACGGCTCCCGAACTGAGACGGAAGTCGGCATCTACGTTCTGACCGGCGGGAGCGCCGGGACGCAGAGCAGATCTCGGGCCAAGAGGCAGATCTACGGATACGACACGAGGTTCAGCATTTTCGGCAAGGACTTCTTGCTCAACTACCCCTTTTCCACTTCTGTGAAGTTGTCCACGGGCTGCACCGGGACTTTGGTGGCCGAGAAGCATGTCCTGACGGCCGCCCACTGCATCCACGATGGCAAAAGCTACGTCAAAGGAGCCAGGAAACTGCGTGTGGGGTTTCTGCGGCCGAAGCTGAAAGATGGCAGCAAGGGGGCGAACATCAGTAGCTCCCCGGAGCCGGAAAGGATGAAATTCCAGTGGATCCGAGTGAAACGGACTCACGTCCCCAAAGGGTGGATCAAAGGGAATGCCAACGACATTGGCATGGATTACGACTATGCCCTCTTGGAGCTCAAGAAACCCCACAAACGGAAGTTCATGAAGATTGGCGTGAGCCCGGCCGCAAAGCAACTGCCTGGCGGGAGAATCCACTTCTCAGGCTATGACAACGACCGGCCAGGGAACCTGGTCTACCGCTTCTGCGACGTCAAAGACGAAACGTACGACCTCTTGTACCAGCAGTGTGACGCCCAGCCAGGCGCCAGCGGCTCAGGAGTTTACGTACGGATGTGGAAGAGGCAGAGCCGCAAGTGGGAGCGCAAGATCATTGGGATATTTTCCGGGCACCAGTGGGTGGACACAAACGGCTCCCCGCAGGATTTCAATGTGGCCGTTCGCATCACTCCCCTCAAATACGCGCAGATTTGCTACTGGATTACAGGCAACTATCAGCACTGCAGGGACGGCTAAAGACAATGGTCATCCTTTTTTTTAAAGAAAGAAAGAAAATAAACGGCCTCGGTTGCTGAATCGGGGGCAGGGTGGGGTGGGGGGGAAAGGGGAAGCGAAACTCTTCTATATTGCCGGTGCTATGGGGTGCAGTTCTGTTTTTCTTTTTTATAAATACCTGGATGCAGGAATCAATAGGGAAGTCTGTCTTGTTTGTAAAGGTGCTTTGTGTTACATACTATGCACAGCCAAGCTGGCCTTAGATACTGGGGCATCCTGGGGTGCACATCTGGCCCTGCCCTTCTCCCACAACTCCCCTTCCTGGTGCCCATGTCATGGCTGGGAGGCTCTGCAACTTGTGCGCTTTGCGTTTGATTTTTGCAAACTGTTCCTCCTGGGGCTCCTGGCCCTCAAGTCAAGTCAGAGAACACAGCGTTGATAGGGGCTGAACCAGAGATGGTGGCCAATTTAAAGTTGAAGTGAGACAGGGGTAGGCGTGAGTGTGGCTGTTTTGTTTTTTGTTGCACTGCCGTGGCTGCTTTCTGCAGGCAAGCAAGAGAAGAAAAACACTCAGCTTTGATGCTCCCATGCAGATAGATGATACGCTTTGAATCAGTCAAGTTCTCCCTGAAAAAGACTTTTTGTCTGAAATGTATTTAGCGTCGGTAGCTCTGCTTTCTATTTCTGGAAGCTATTATATTCAGAGCGGGGGATACTGTGAGTCTGTGGGAGCACAGAACAGCTTCAGAATTTACCGTAAATTCCTAAGAATCTCAGGGTATTTTGGAAGCTAGTCCACCACTGCAGCACACCCACCATATTTGGCCACATGCACAGACTTCTCCACTAACTTGTTCTGCTTTGCAGCCAAAGCTGGATTGGCACAGTGTTGGTTCTACTAGCCCACAAAGCCACCTCCCACTTAGCTGGAGCAGGGCTGTGCACAGCGCTGATTGGCTGCTCCTTTGTGTCAATCGCAAAACCACCTCTCCCTTCTTGGAGCTGTGCTGTACACGGTTCTGATTGGTTGGCCCTCACTGATCATGAAGCCACTCCCTCCCTCTCTCATTGTTTTCACCCTAGGGTTACAGAATTGTGCAAAAATATATATCCCAACCTTTAAAAAAATGCAAGGGACATTCCCAGCCCTACCTGTGGTTGCAGATGGGGGGCTGAATCTGGGACCTTCAGCATGAACAGCAGATGTACTACCACTGAACCCTGTCTCTGCGGGTGGCGCTGTGGGTTAAACCACAGAGCCTAGGACTTGCCGATCAGAAGGTCAGTGGTTCGAATCCCCGCGACAGGGTGAGCTCCAGTTGCTCTGTCCCAGCTCCTGCCAACCTAGCAGTTTGAAAGCACGCCAGTGCAAGTAGATAAATAGGTACCACTGAGGTGGGAAGGTAAATGGTGTTTCCATGTGCTCCGGCATTCGTCACAGTCCTCCGTGCTCCAGAAATGGTTTAGCCATGCTGGCCACATGACCCAGAAAACTGTCTGTGGACAAACGCCGGCTCCCTCGGCCTGAAAGTGAGATGAGCGCCGCAACCCCATAGTTGCCTTTGACTGGACTTAACCGTCCAGGGGTCCTTTACCTTGACCTTTACCCAGAGAACAGCTGAAGGAGAGGAGAGGCACCTCCCATTAGCATCAAATTTCAACTGCCCCGAGTCTGTTCAAGCCAGGAGCAAAGTTTCCTTCTAGCTAGAGGGACTGGCAAGGCTAAGTGGGCTTTGCAGCAGAAGCAGCTGCTTTCTTTCTTTCTTTCTTTCTTTCTTTCTTTCTTTCTTTCTTTCTTTCGCTGGGTAGCCCATGCCAATGCGGAGTTCAGAAGTAAATTTACTGAGTGCTGCTTGCTGTGTGGGATCTGTTACCTTTATTTATGCCTCGTCTTTCTTTTTTCTCCCGTGGTTTTACCTTTCCTCTTGTTTCCCCCCAAATTCTCCAGCGATTCTCAGCAACTGGAGAGCAGGCAAGTTTTAGTGAGGTCCCCCTCCCACTTTTTTTCCTTTTAACTGCACTGCTATCCCTCAGCATAATGGATGCAAACTGAGAAGGGCATTCGAGCCTTCGCACACCAAGATTGCGAAACACAATCTCTCCAGGGTTCAGCTGTTTTTCCAGAGCACAGTGCAGTCTCGGAAGCCGGGCTGGTGCCTCGCAATTAGGGACAGGAGAAGATGTCCGTTTCAGTTTATCGCAATCTCTCGTTTTCCCCATCTTGAGTTCTGTTCTCCACATTTCCGCATCATTTTGCAATTTTCTTTTAACAGAATTCCTGTGAAAATTTGTCAGCGTTTTAATGCAAACTTCCTCCATGCACATTTTTGTAAGTTGGAGTTCTTGTTATTAAATATACCAAGAAAAAAGCACACCGAGAACTCAGGCCAATGTAGATTTCAATAGTGGGAGTTTCTAATCCATAATTGACTTCTGACTTCTGCTCTAAAGACCTCCACGTCGAATCTGACTATGGACTAACATGAACTTATCTCTACTCATAAACTCTTATCTCTAATTCTGTAACGAATTTCTGTGTTATACATATCTTGATGAGTTTGAGTTTGTAATCTCTGTTAGAGTTTGTAATCTCTATCTGAGTTTGTAATCCTTGTCAGAATACATACTTTTGAATAGATTAGTTTTTGTTACTATTGACTATTGATTTGCGAGTAGGGACCACTCCCACTATTGAAACTTACATTGGCCGGAGTTCTTGCTGTGCACATTTTTGTATGCAGTCTTCCCTGTCAACCACATTTTTTGCAATGCAATTTCCATTAATATAATGCATTTTCCTGCCAGTAAGTGCAATTAAATGTCACCTGGCCAGAGAACCACACTTGCAAGATCCTTCAAAATCTGAATTTTGAAGGGCGGCTGTGTTTTGGTTCGCCCATTGATGCTGAAAATTCAAATTAGGTAAGTTCACATTTAAATGCAAACCGAATTGAGATTCTCCTCCATCCCATCTGGAATATAAAGGACTGAGCTGCTGTGGACTCACCGGCCTCAGTGCCCTCTTCAGGCACAAAAGAGAACTGCAGCAAGCATCACTGCCCCCTGCAGTTGACAGGCAAGACTCTGGGTTGGTTGGTGTCAAAACGACAGAAAAGGTCTGAAACTGTTGGCTGTTCCAAGGTAGCATCTCATCAACTTATGATTCATTGCGTCTTCAGCTTTGTGCTTGGCGGGTGGCCTTTTCCCCAGGCCTTTACACACAGACAGTCGCTCAAACGGATTCTCCCCATTTAAGCAGCCCAGTTCAGACATTGCCCCCAAACCATGGTTAGCAGGAGCAGATTTCACTTCATTTCCCATCTGCTCAGTATTCCCATTTATGTGGTGCAGCAACCTCCAGGATGCAGGGATGGTTATAACAATGGTATGTCGGCGCAGTTATCACATCTAGTGATGTTTGGTACAAACCATGGTTTTGCAAACAACATATTTTCCTTTTTTTAAAAAAACAAAAACTTTTATCTAGATAAAAACACAAAAAAGGGAGGGGGGAGAGAGATATAGAAAAACAAAGACATAACAAGAGTAGGAAAGAGGTTAAAAGAGAAAGATAGAAAAATCCAGAAAATAAAGTACTTCTAATTCCTCACCTGTCCACTATAAAAAAAGCCTATCAAATGAGACCCATCCCTTTTGTTTATCAAATTTATTTATTGCTTCACAACAAATAGGGAGTCTCGAAGTGATATACAGGTAAAGTAAAATACAAAAGTACATAATAATACCATTTGGTAGGAGAGGGTCTCATGCAGATACCATCTCACCAGGATGTCTGTCCCATCTGTGTCTGAATCAGGCCATTAGTGTGGCAGCACCTGTGCTTTGAAACTCTTATTACATGTTAAGACAGGCATCTTCTCTATTGTCTTTTTTGGCACCTGTTGAAGACCTTCCATTTCCAAGTCTTTTAAGCAGAGATCTGTATCCCAGTCCGCATCTGGTTTGGACTTGAAAAATGTTCTTAGATATGTTTTCATCATTAAATCAGTTGGGGATAGTTCAGGCCTTGTATGTGACAGAGACATTCAACCAAATGGACAGAGGAAAAACTCCCTCAGAAAGACACAACCAATCAGAGCACATGCTACCTCAGTGAGGGTCATGTTGCTGTGATTGGTTGTCAAGGAAAACCTACACACACACACACAGTTAGCTGACTTACTGTTAAAGAATTAACTCTTTAGTCACACACAGAATGATCCCTGCTGTTCTACCAAGCCATTCATTAATTAAACTATTCATTAATTAAACTATTGCATCAGACCTCCCTGCAGATGTCCACTTTGCAGATGTTCAGCAGAGACCAAGATCTGCTGATGAATGTTTACAAACCAGACCAGAGCAATCAAACTGAGCAGCACATTTTCATCAGGGTAAAGCCTTTCAACAGGAAGCCTGCTAGCACATTTGCAAAGCTAAGCAGGGTCCAGTGTGGTTTCAAATTGGATGGGAGACCATGTGTTGAGATTCCTGCATTGCAGGGGGTTGGATTAGATGACCCTCAGAATCTCTTCCAACTCTACAATTCTATGATTCTACAAATTAGAATGTGTCAGGTGAGAACTCTCCCCCCCCCGTATATGTATCTCCTTTATTTCCACTCCACCCAACTGTTGTCAAGGGTGTTAATGGTGCTTACTTTTTTTCAGTTATTGTGGTCCCTCTTTGGAATGCCAAAATTGCTTCTCGACACATTCACATACGAGGTGTAGCTTTCGCACATAATGCTAGGACTCTTCTTCTCTGGCACAGACAGTCACGGATGTTTTAAAACGAAATCTGGCAGTGGGATGGGGGGGGGGGAGAACCTTTTTGCATTTGGCAAAACCTCATCCACCTCCTTTCTCTGTAGACACCTGACTCCTGTGACTGTTTTAATGCCAGTTCTTTTGATGAATGTATCGCAGAAAACCAAGAGGAAACGGAAAGAGACAGAGGATTTTGTACCTATTTATATGTTATCTGCCAGAAATGAAAAGCGCTCATTGTAATTACACTTCATTTGTAAGGATGTTCAAATACAGCACAGTTTTTATCGACCTCTGCAGGAATAATATGCTTGTTCATTTTCTTGTCATTTTTTTTAAATGCTTGCAGAAAACTGGATATTGCTTTGCATGCTTCCTAGCCACATGAGATTGTGATGGGTGCAGCTCCAGAGCATAGCTGTCAACTTTTCCCTTTTCTTGCGAGGAATCCTATTCAGAATAAGGGAATTTCCCTTAAAAAAAGGAAAACGCTGACAGCTGTGCTCCAGAGAGTGGCAAGCCTGAGCTTCAAAACCATTGTATGGTCCACCACCCTAACCAGTGCTACTGTATTTTGTAAAACACTTTTGAAAACAACAACAATAAAGAGGTATATAAATTTTAATAAATAAAACAGAAATAACATTGCCGCTTTGAGCAGAGAATCCAAGGAAATCAGTTGCAGTTTAAGCCAATTCCTTGTTTCCACATCTTCCAGGCTGCCCTGTGCAAAAGGACCCGTCCCCACCCAAATCCTGATACCAGCAGTATTGCATCTTTTCCACCCAGGAGTACAACATCCCAGAAGCAGCTCTTTTCTACAGGAAAAATGAATACTCAGAATACACATGAATACTCCCTGAAGCAAGGGCTAGTCAAGGGATTATTCTTTTTCATTTCATTTCTAGAATTCATATTTTTAAGGGGATTGGAATCTCAAAGTGGTTTGCAACCTATATTAAAACATCAAAGGAAGCAATTCCAGAAGAAAGTCAGACATATACATTCAAAGAAACGTAATTCACAGGAAACCATTATTATTATTATTATTATTATTATTATTATTATTAAAATGTACTTAGTTACATTTGTATACAGCCCTATACCCATAGGTCTCAGGGTGGTTCACAACACAAAGTTATAGCATACAAAGCACAGAATACATAATGAAAATAATGAAAACATAAAGACAGTAAAACGTGGCTTTTCACTCAGCGAGCTAACTCCTTCTCTAAAGCAAATAAAACACCACACAGGAGGTCAAATGCAGAATGCACATTTAACGCAGCAAAGGTAACAATTTTTTATCTTAAACATTTCGAACGAAAGCATACCCAAAGGAAGTCAAATATGAAATGCGCATTTAAAGCAGCATAATTAGCAAGAGAATAAAATAGTATCATAAACGTAGAACATATCTTCTGCCGTTGCGCCAATGGTGGTTCATGGCGGATGGCACTAAGAGGCCTGCAAAACAGTCTCTGGCCTCTTCCTCAGTCTCAGCTTTTGTAGCTGGAGTCAGTCCGGCAAAATACCGGTAATCTCTGGCCTCTTCCTCAGTTTCAGCTTTTGTAGCTGGAGTCAGTCCAGCAAAATAATCTCTGGCCTCTGGCCTCTTCCTCAGTCTCAACTTTTGTAGTTGGAGTCAGTCTGGGCCCTGCCCTCCCAGATCAGGTGGGAAAAAGCCTACAAGGCAGGGAGCAGGCCTATCAGGACTCACAGCCAAGATGAGGATCATTACCCTCTTTCTCTGGTTGTCGGTTGCTCTCTTCCTATGGAAGACTCTACGTGTTCTGTGAAACAATGAGGACACATCCACATAATACAAAATACATTACTGAATGTGGGTTTTCCCTAAAGAATTCTGGGAACTGCCATTTGTTAAGGGTGCTGGGAATTGTAGCTCTGTGGGTGGGTGGGATAAACTGCAATTCTCAGGAGCCTTTGGAGGAAGTTATAGAATAGTAGAGTGTAGCGCTAAAAAGGATCCCCATCCAGTCCAACCCCCTGCAATGCAGGAATCACAGCGAAATTTGTTTCAAAACCTCATGTGCTTTAAAGGAGCTGCAGGTGTATGTTGTGAGTTTATTAAAAGGTAAAGGTAAAGGGACCCCTGACCATTAGGTCCAGTCGTGACTGACTCTGGGGTTGCGGCACTCATCTCGCTTTATTGGCCAAGGGAGCCAGTGTACAGCTTCTGGGTCATGTGGCAGGTTCTGGCGAACCAGAGCAGCGCACAGAAACACCGTTTACCTTCCCGCCAGAGTGGTACCTATTTATCTACTTGCACTTTGACGTGCTTTTGAACTGCTAGGTTGGCAGGAGCAGGGACCTAGCAACGGGAGCTCACCCCATCGCGGGGATTCGAACCGCCAACCTTCTGATCGGCAAACCCTAGGCTCTGTGGTTTAACCCACAGTGCCACCCGCGTCCCTCTGTGGGTTTATTATGAGTCTGCAAAAGGACGCACCAGCTGCCTCGCCAATGTTGGGAGACATTCTGCACAGAAACATGTGTGTGTACCTTTAAGAAGTTTCTGCAAGCTATGGGCTAATTGGTTGCAGCTGGCCGTGGCTACAAAAGGGAAAAAGCTGCAGTTTGTACCCTGCCTGCAGGAAAAACACCCACCAGCGTTTCTGTTTGTTGTTTTGTAATAAAGTCTTCGTTTAAGTTTGGTTTTCCACCTGTCTCAAGCTGTCACAGTCTGTTCTCTGCCACCAGTTAAAAATCCCCCCTCGAACAGCCAACTCACCCTTTCGCTTGCCCACCTGCACTCACACCTCGCCCCCGCCCCTCCCAAAGCCACTCAGGGAGAAGTTCAAGTGACTTAGCAAATGTGGTGGCTTCTCCTTCCATGGTCAACCCCCTATCATTTATTAATTTCAGCCCGCTTTGCCAAACGGTCCCAGGGCAAGGTGCAAAAGCGTCAGCCTGAATCACAACCACAATTTCCCATTAAAAAAGCGTAAGGCAAAGCTGAAAAACAACCGGCGGCAAAATAGCAATGTAACAGACCGGCGGCAAAGTAGCAAAGTATCAGAGCAGCAGTACCGGTGAATGTAAACATGGTGTTCATTTCTCTGCTTCACTTTTGCCTCTGGCCCTGCGCACCACTGGCTTGCGGCCCTCATGAGCTTACCCAGAAGGCAATGTGGCCCTGGGTCTACAAAAAAGTTCCCCACCCCAGGAAGAGCTTGGTGTGGCAAGACAACGGCACAGAATTGGCTGTTAAATGAGCCCATGTTTCCAAACCAGCCTGCGCCGCCACATCGCCTTGACTCTGGAAGCAGCCTTGCAAAGCCCCTGCTGGAAGTTGCCTTGCACAAGCAAATACGACACATACTTGAGATTCTTCTCTGCATTGCCTCTTGTTAGCACCTCTTGTGGGGAGAGCCAGCTCCAGGTACACATATCCTGTCCTTGATATGGAGCCTGGTCCCTGTAGCTTCTGTTTGGCAGCATTAAGAGAAAATGTGATATTAGATGGGTATTCTCATTAAGAAGGGAAGCACTCAGGAAATAGGGCAGTGGAAAAGAAAGGAACTGGGGGTTGGTTGGTTTTTTGCTTTTGGAACAGTTACTATTTCCCTTCTCTCTGTGTTTGTTTGGGGTTTTTATGGAGGGGTGCATTAATTTTAATGCATCTGTACGGCACCACTTTTCCTAAAACGAAAGAGCAACATCTTCCAACTGCACTGTGCAGAAATGCAACTTGCTCAAATGCATTAGACCAATCACAACCCACAAATGACACCCCAGTGGCCAAATGCCAAGGATGTTTTGGGGGAAAAAATCTGTACTAACCTCTTAGCTGGGGGGAGGGGCATTGCAAAGCATATGGGGCCACTACAGAGAAGGCCCCACTTCTTGTGGCGGCTAATGCAACTCCTGTAATTTTCTATGGCTGTCTAGAGGATGAGAGTTCAACAGGTGTAGATGGCACAATTCCCTCGCAGGGCCATAGCTGTCAACGTTTCCCTTTTTTAAAGAGAAATTCCCTTATTCCGAATAGGATTCCTCGCAAGAAAAGGGAAAAGTTGGCAGCTATGCGCAGGGTACAGCTTGGATAACAGCTATGTGGCTTGCATAACATGACCCTGAAATCTGAGCACCTTTTACATGTGCTCTTTTGCATCTGCAAAACTTATATCCATTTGCCAAGTGCAGAAATTCCTTCTATACTGAAGGCTTAGGAATTGCTTTATGTGGGATGTAATCCACTGAGAGTAGTCAAGTACAGTGGTACCTTGGATTATAGACGCTTCAGGTTACAGACTCCGCTAACCCAGAAATAGTACCTCAGGTTAAGATCTTTGCTTCAGGATGAGAACAGAAATTGCGCGGTGGCGGTGCAGCGGGAGTCCCCATTAGCTAAAGTGGTGCCTCAGCTTAAAAACAGTTTCAGGTTAAGGACGGACCTCCAGAACGAATTAAGTTCTTAACCCGAGGTACCACTGTACAACATTCCTTGTTTTCCTAGAGTGGACATGCAAGGGAATGTTTGGTCCAGCCAGTCGAAACTCCCTCCTGGCCTGGAGCATCCTTCCTTGCATGTGACTAGTAAGTGGGTGTGACCTTTCCAGACCTGGCAAAAGGTCAAGGCATGCTGCCCCTCTCCTCTTTTTTCCATCTTCTTTTCATCCTGCGAATTTCCTGGAATGAACTGCTGGCTGCCAGCCAAGCAGTCCCCCAGGCCATCTTCCTTGTGGGATAAACCTGATAGTATAAGTTTGTAGCTTTAAGCCTTAAGCCTACCTTCTGGGATCACACTGTGCTCTGCCTGATCGTGAGTAAACTTTCTTTTTATTGCTTATGAATAAGACTGTGGTGTCTTTATTCTTTTAGGAGGGATTCAAGGGGTCTTATCAGGAAAATATTAGAACACATTTCAATCTGGACAAGCCAGATTGAATTGTGTATTGTTTTAAGAAACTCACACGAGTTCGCAACTAGTTTTCTGCTGTGTAAAGGGGAATACATTCTGCTAAGTAAAGAAACTTGCTAACGGAAGTTAGGAAGGATATTAATAAACAATATATCTTCTCCTGCCACCCTAAAGATTCCCACACCTTATACTGAGTCAGACCACTGGTCCACCTAGTTCAATATTGCTGACACTGGCTGGCAGCAACCCTCCAGGGTTTCAGGCAATGAGGACATTCCCAGCCTTACCTGGAGATGCCGGGGATCGAACCGGGAACCTTCTGTTATGCAACACAGCCCTTCCCCCATAAGGCTGAGCTGCAAGCGCAGAGCCTTTCACGTGAGCGGAGGGAGAGAACTGGCTGCTCACCAGGAATGATCAAAATCTGGCTCAACACTGTTCTTTCCAGACGAATTAGCAAAAAACAAAGGACCCTTTTGCCTGGCTTGTGCACACACAGCAGACATTTCCATCCGCGAGAAAACGGGGGTGGCAGAGAGAAAATGTCAAAGGTGGGCCTCGCCTGGCACCTTCAGCTCCGGGCCACATGCATGAGATCGAGAAGTCACGTGACTTGCAGAATGTCACCGCCAAACGGTCATGTGGGATTGTGTTTCTCCTTGCTGGTGTCTGTCCTTTCTGCATATAAGCTATACTAGCCACTGAAGCAAAGAATATACTAGCTGATGATGTCACAC